ATTCTGTAGTTCTTCTTGGAACAGTGCTGTTCTCCCTCTGAAGTACTGGTTCTGAGTCGTGACTTTGTTTTCACCATTTTCATAGAGATACACTATTGAGTCTTGAAGGTCAAGTCTAAACCATTCCACTCTCATGTTTACAGCACTGGTGTTGGGCTTGATGGAACAGGGCAGGATCACATCTTCACCAGTGAGAGCAAAGAGAGGTTCTGCAGGTCCCACAACATTATACATCCCTAAGACAAAGAAAACCATGTCTGAATTGGACATATAAGGACACCAGTTCATTTATGGCTGTATAGGAGTTAGTAAAGTAACCCATCTATCTCTCCTCATAATGCTAAATCTTCTGCATTTTACATGACTGTAGCAAATGCAACACAAATACATGCACACAGAAATCACTCTGATCACAGAACGGCTCTGCTGTGGTTTTATTTGCAACATTAAATGGACCTGGTATCACTGGATCTTGAAATGCACAACAATGTCTGCTTTTTCTACAAGGTAAAAATGATTACCTGATCTTAAATCTGTAATTGCACAAAACATCAGAGCCACACCAACCAACTTCATCCCTGCAAAGAAACCACTTTATAGCTCTTTACTTTGGTCTACTTTACAAATAGTTTGGTACGTGTTAAATAAAATAAACACAAATGATTATATTTAGTCAAATGCTTACCTGATTTGTCTCTTGTAAACAGTGTTTAAAAGACTTGCTATCACTTCCTCTTAGAGACAAACCAGTCAAACCAGAAATCACACACTCGAACGCTTAAAGACACACACACATTCAGCATTCAGCACATGCACTCTAGATGCCTATACTTGTCGGTTTCAGTGATCTTATTGTTAACTGAAACTAAAACTATTAAAAATGGTTTTGTTAAGTGAAATAAAGCTGAAAAAAAATTAGATCAAAAACTTAAACTAAAAAAAATAAACAAGTTTCATTACTAAAACTGAAATAAAAACGAAGCTAAAAAGAAATGTTAAAAACTAATTACAAAAAGCACATAACAAAATGACTAAAACACAAGCTAAAGTTAAAACGGATCATCTAAAAATAAAAGCTAATTCAAAATATTAATGAATATTATAATAGTACATAATATTAAAATGTCACTTGGTTTGTGCAATAAATCTTTGTAAATGCAAATAGATCAGTAATGATTTGCTACCACTTTATGACTGATAAATCTATATGCTACTTATATTTTCAGTTTCTGAGCGCTTGTATTCATCTTTAGGTGAGGTTTATTCAAACCAGCAAATGGATAAAGGACCACAAAAATCAAATTCTGCAATCATTTATTCAACCTCTGTTGTTCCAAACCTGTATGACTTTCTTTAGCATAACAGAAAAAAAGAAAAATGTTTTAACTGTTT